GGTCGCTGTCGCCGCTAGCCGCCCCACGCCGGCGGAGGCCCTGCGGCTCCGGGAGGTGCTGTCGCGGCTCAGCCTGGCCCGCAAGGACGTGTCCGACGCGGCGACGCTGGTGAARAAGGTGGTCACTCCCCTGGTGCAGGCCATCCGGAGCAAGGACAGCGTCTTCAGCTCCATCGAGCCGCACAGCGCCGGCAGCTACTACGAGCGCGTCAAGGTGGGTGCGGGGCGCCGGCAGCGCTCTCCCGCTCGGCTGCGGCGGCAGGTGAGGGGCGGCTCGGACGGGCCGGCTGCGCGCTGCTCCTGCCGCTCGACAGKAGCTCTAAGCTGGCCCTTCCCCACGAGCTACAGCTAAGCATGACTCTGTTAACTAAGGACAATGCCCTATAAAATGATAACCTGCTGGATGGTGCACATACGTGCATTTAGTCAGACGCTACATGAGCGGGACTCGCGTTCAAGCCGCAGCAAGCCCTACCCTTGCACAGCACGCAGGTAAGCCCGGCCAACCAACAGGACCAGTCAGGTATAGCACTGCACAAGAGGCCCTGGGACAGGTTTTAGTTCATCTTTTTTTCCAAAAAGCAGGAGTTATGGGTACAAATTGAAAGAAGACTTTTTTTTTTTTCCTATGAGAGTGGTGGGACGCTGGTGGAGGGTGCCTAGAGCGATTGTGGATGCTCCAAACCTGGCAGTGTTCAAGGCCAGGTTGGATAAGGCCTTGAGTAACCTGCTCTAGAAGAAGATATCCTTGCCTAGGGCAGGGTGGGTCGGGACTAGCTSAATCTCTTAAGGTGAACTCCCACCCTGTCACTTCCTATGATTAACCAATACCTTTTGTCCTGGTTCCAGCAGACTGAAACAAAGTCAAACATGGGGGTACTTTTTCTCTGTCTAAAACCCGCTTCAGCCCTAGCATTGCATTTGTTTTCCTCACAGTTGATTCCTCTGTGCAAAAGGATGACTGAGTACAGCATTTATGCATTAATTATTCACAACAGCATAAGAATCTTAAAACTATCTTAAAAATTAGTAAGTTGGAATGCTGGAAAGTGAGCTGCTATCAGCAAATTGCTATTTTCCACCCCAGTGCACAGTAATCTTGCAGTACCACAGAAATAAGCTCATATTTCACATCAGACATGATTAGTACACCAACGYAGATAAAACCAGAACTGGTGTAAAAATCTCAGGAGGTATAATAATACCTAAGTTGCACACTGTTGTATTCTCCTATTTGCAGATATCTAAACCAAATGAGTTTGACATCATGTTTGTAATGCCTGTTCAAAGGATTCAGCTGGAAGAGTCTGATGATACTGGAGCCTATTATTATGTATCATTCAAAAGAAATCCAAAAGAAAAGGGTTTGTTGAAGTTTGTAGAAGAAGATGAAAAATTATCAGCCTTTAAAATGCTTGAAGAACTAAGAAAAATTATTAAACAAGAAGTAAAAAACATTAAAGGTTAGTACTAAGAGAACAAACTTCACCCAGAAGTGCTAAAAATCCAATTACATTGTGCATATATGTTGTCCTATTGTTAAAATAGATCTTCTGCCACTCCTCTGTCTTTGTGCCAATGGAGCTGTAACCTCTCCTGTCCCCACTACTGCAAGTTGGCTTTTGTGTTAAGAATCACAAATACATCATAACTATTTTTATTATGTTACTAACTCCAGTATGAACAGTTTCTGTATGAAAGTAGTAGACATTAAGGGTTCTATTGCATTCTTGGTATTTTCTACATAACCTATATGTCTTGCATCTATCTGGAGTGCACAAAGAGCCATTTGCTGAAATGGTACCAAAACAAAGCTTTTATACAGTACCTAATATTTTTTATTGATCAGTACAGAAAATCCCTTTTAGGCTTATTTTTCTCCAAAACGTTTAGAAACATTTTGACCAAATCTTTTCACTATGTGTTTTCAAAAGGGAAGCAGTTCATTGAGGAACATTACAATATTTTTAATTCTCAGACAGTAAATCAAGCAAACAGAGTAGCGTTCCCTATTTCATAGAACTCTTCAACAGGCTTTCTCAATGTTTTATTTAACACCCATATCTTGTAGCACAAAGAACCCATGTCTGAACTAATTCTTTTGATTGCTTATGAGATCTCTAGTAAAAACTGTTAATATTCTTTTTAAAAAAAGGTTTCATCCATCTATCTAACAATCTATYTCTCTAATATGAAATACCACTCTTCTTTGTTATTAGATGAGGAAGTCACTGTGGCAAGGAAAAAGACTGGAAGTCCTGCAATAACTCTTCAGATCAAAAATCCTCCATCAGAAATATCAGTGGACATCATCTTGACTTTGAAGGTTCAGCAGAGCTGGCCCCTCAGCACACAGGACGGCCTCAGAATTAAAGAGTGGCTGGGAACAAAAGCCAGGAGACGTTTTACATTTAGTTCACTTTACTTAGTAGCCAAGCAAAACAAAAGAGAAAAAGTTCTAAGAGGTACCTCAAATATGGACAATAATAAGCTATGAAATATCATCTCCACAACTTGATCACTAACAAATGCTATAGAAAGGGTAGCCAGATCATGTTCAGGATTCTGCCTTCAAGATACTTCATCCTGGTTATACCCAGCTCAAAGACAATTGAAATCCCCTCTTTAAAGCATTAGATTTGTGGTATTGCTTTTCCTGTACTGAAATGGAAACAGAAACCCACTCTGCCAGGCTGTACACTAAACATTACTAAGCGTGCTATAGTAAATCCTGCCAGACACATGGATATGACCCTTCCCTTGTGCTAGTGCTGCACTTAACAAGAGCATGCACTCTCTTGTAAGGAACAGAAAAGTAGATGGAAGTTGCTGAAAATGCAGGAAACACTCCTGGGTGTAGGACTCCATCCACAAATCAGATACCTCTGCAGGAAGCAAACTGTTTTCTTGCCTATCAAGATACATTATCTCTTATCTGAACTCTGGTATGGCTACAACATTTTTTCCTCCAGACCACTGTCACGTTGAGCCTATTAGTTTGTAGAAACATTCTGACTTGTCATTGCATTACAGTAACTAATGATTTCAGCAAAAATATTTCAAGCAATCTCGTATTTTTTTAATTAGCATGCCCATGTTGTCAAGGGCCAATAAAGCAGTACTGATTTATTTGGCAATCTCCTCACGTGCAAGTTAAATGCAAGGAGTAACAGCCAAACAGCCAGTGGAAAGTCTAACTCATGCAAGGAAGACAAAAGTGATTGCTGGTGTTAAAAACAGGGCATTGAGCTATGTTAGCAATTGTTTCCAGAAGCATAAGCAGAAGAACAAAAAGAAGTGCTTTTGAATGGTCACCTTATCCAACACAAACTCACAAACTTATTATTTGCACAAGGAGAACCCAGAAAACATAGGGTACAGAAATTCAAAGGCAGTAGATTTCTATGAGTAATGCAGTTCCCTAAATCATGTTCAGCAAATCCAGGGAAGTTCAGAATTAAGCTTAATTTTAAAATAAAACCAAACATGCTTAGGAATTTAAAGCACCCAAACAATTGTTTGGATGCTTTAATGTCCTACATTGATTACACTCTAATTGTCTTTATGAAACAGCTGGGGAGTTAAGGAGGAACTAACTGCATTCACTGAATTATGATAATTTCACTCGTTGCAAAAAATTGCTGGAATTTAAACCAATTACAAAATTTGGGCTTTTTTTTCTAGCTACAAAAACTGATGCTTAGTGCTGTGTAACCATTTAACAGTCTTGTGCTTGGCTTCAGGAAACACCTGGCGAATCTCTTTCTCACATATTGAAAAGGACGTGATAAACAACCATGGCAACTCAAAGACATGTTGTGAATCCAATGGACCAAAGTGCTGTAGGTTTGTATTTCATAGGAATATTCAGCTTTTAGCCTGTGTGAGCTGGGCTAGAACTGTCTAACACTGTTTCAGTTTAGCATTTAGGAATTTGATCTGAGAGTAATTACTCATAACAGGAAGCAATGAGTCTTTTAGGCATAATTGTTCTACCGCAATACAACACTGCATGTATTGTCTAAATGTCTGACTTGCATTTACCTAATGAAAGGTGGAAACAATTATATTGCTGGTTTACACTCCAGACTTGCCTTAGAATGCAAAAGCATGTGACTTGTCAAATAATCTTTCCCAAATTCATTCCTGCTTAGAAAAAATAGCTTTAAAAAATGACAGCTCTGCTTTCTGAGCAAAATTAAACTTCATATCAAGGCAATTTCTAAAACGATGGTGAGAAAACTGCTGAATGAAATCAAGATGAATAAATGATTTTTCACCTCTATAAAACTGTTTTCCAGATTCTTTCAATGGGAACAAAACCCACATGAGGTACAAAACCTCCTTAACAACTAAACTAAGAAGTTGGTTTGCCAATTACATCTTATACTAAATCAAGAAAGTCATAAGAGAATTAATGCATGATTGTGTTTAAATATCTGAACTACATATTCAGAATTATGTACAAGATACCTGATACATTCTTATTTTTTTTTAACAGGAAAGGTTGTCTTAAGCTGCTGAAGTATCTTCTAGAGCAACTTAAAATGAAATATTCAAAAGAATTAGAAAAATTCTGTTCGTATCATGTCAAAACTGCTTTTCTCCATTCCTGTGTCATATGGCCAAATGACTCAGACTGGCACCTGGCAGACCTGGATCACTGCTTTCAGCGGTGTCTGGGATTTTTTGTGGATTGTCTGCAAAAGTCTCAGCTGCCTCACTTTTTTATTCCCCAATACAACTTATTCAGCCTGGAAGATAAAGCAAGACATCATTTCCTTTCAAGACAAATAAGCCGCGAATGGAACAACGGATTCCCAGTATTTCACGAGAATTACTAAGAACATTGYTCACAGGAGATATCTAATTGTGCAGACTTGCATATTTAAAGCATATTCTTCAGTAGTCTGGTACTACAAAAACCAAAAGAACCCCAAAATACAATAAAGAACACTAATAAAAATGCATATTTCAGTCACCCTGCTTAGCCATAACACTTAAAATGTCTGAAGTAATATTTATCTTGTCTATCCAAATGTAGATGACACCTGCAAAATACCTTCAGGGTATACTAAAGAACAAGTAGAAGAATTTGCAAGAGTTAATTTCCCACATGCAATTTCTATATTTCCTAATACAAAGGCATCAATGACTGCATAAAGAGGAAAATGACAATTTTATTTAAAATTAAGATTCACTGCAGACTATCCAAAATACACTCCTATTTTCAAAAGAAGACAAAAAGTCACTGGAGTTACTTTGACATTAACCAGAGCAACTTCTCCAGATCACCTGGATGATGGAGGATCTTTTGCAGTGGACAATCAGCAGCAACAGCAGAGAGATTTTATCAAAGTAATAKGAAGTTCCTGAAGTAACTTAAAATCACTTTAGAAATTAATGGATGGGAAGCAATCATTACCATAATATGCTGCAACAGAGTACATGTCACTGTGCTAATGAACATTTATTGTATGATGAACCTTGTAGAAAGAAATGCATCTTTCAACCTGTATCAGAGGAAGACTCTTGATATAAAAGGTTATCAAAACCAAAATGCAACATGAATCAGACACTCTTGACATTGAAATTCATATCCATTTTATCGTGTTAAAGAAATGCAAAAAGTAATTACAATATTTCCTATTACAAAAATTGGACAGATGAGAAATACACACATTTGGGAACTGCTATGCTGCAAGCAAATATATCTTTTGCTTCTAGCAGAAGCCACGGGAAGTCTGTATTTTTAGCCTACTTTTTCAAGGCAAGATAACCTACTGGCTTGAATAATGCCCAGATTTACCTAAATTATGAGCAAATTAGGAGGGAAGAATATTTAGAGAGTAATTTTGCTAAAAAATTCTCATTTTACTAAATTTGTTTATTAGTTTTTATTTAATCATATGATGCATAAATAAACTCAAGTTCAGACCAAGCATCAAATGAAGAAATAACTCCTTCGCATRTAAGTTTTAAAGAGTGAAAACATCCCCATTATCACTGGCAGTCTATGTGACAGAGCCTGACATCCAAATGTAAAGTGTGAAACAACTTTACTGGGAAGAAATAAAGCTGAATTTCAAATGTATTCTTTTCTCCATGACTTCGCTAACATTGCTCTGGTACCTTCCAGTTTAATTCCTTAAGCTAGAATATTAGATCCATAAAAACAAGAGTAGAAGCTGTTTTTTTTTTTTCCCAGTTAGCAAAAAACATGTACTTATTTCATGCTTGTCCTCCATTAGAAKAAAATGCAGACCTCTCTCAAAAATCTCAAGAGACAAGTCTTAACAAAAACAACTTCCAATGTTAAGTTTTAAAATTAGAATAAAGAGAACTTGCTTCAGCAAACATAAATAATGGCAAACAGAGCAGTTTTCGTTAGCCTAAGAAATAATTCTGCATGACAGAGGTACATCAAGGCAAAGGTACAGTACTTAGAAACTACACTGACAAAACATTGCATACAATAAACAATACAATTCTCTGAATATCAAAGCAAAATTATCTTTTACATTCTTATACATTAATACTGCATTTAACTAAAAAAAAAAACCAACCAAAAAACCCCAACCAACAAACCCACAATATTTGTTTTTAACCAGTAGATAGTGGCTTTAGAAATTCCATACATCACACAAGAAAAAAAAAGATGAATTTTTTTTATGTGAAAACAGTGCCCAAGTGCAAAACCAGATTTATTTCTATATAGAGTTAATCCAGTTTTCTAAGACACTTTTTAGAAGTTTGTTTAAATAGGACAGGTACAGAAAACAATCAAACACGAAATAAAATACATAAATTCAAGCTCATGGATGCTAACACTAAATACAAACACTTTCTCTGTTACAGTTGCTTCAASGGATTACACTTATTTTGAGGGCTTTCTCCAAGGTCTTTGTGTATCCTTCTCAGTTTCTTTTCTCATTTGTGATTGTTTGTATCTTTCTGCCATTGCAAYAAGCTCATCAGGAACTACCTAATAAGAAAGCAGGCAAAAAAAACAAAGTGAATTTTGTATTAAATCTAAACTTTTAGACTCTGCTAGACAAAAAATCAAATTATTTGTGTCTTCCCAAACTTGATTTCATTATTTATCCATCTCCTATCACTCTACAGATTATTTTCTGTAGAARTGCAGAGAGAAATCTTTTTACATAAGACTGCACTGAAATATACTGAAAAATAAACATCAGTGTCTCTAGATTTTCAATAGTATATCCAGTATCACCATATCTGAAGACAAACAGGTAATTACAATATATTTMAAACAGAAATGTTTCTTTTAGTTATAATTAACAGCAAGTAAAAACATCCAGTGCCACTTAAAGGTGATATTATACTGGATACACATATTTGAAAAATGTTGATTTGTATTAAATTCCTTACTGAAGTTTTAAGAGCCTCTGAAAGAAACTTTGTAACTTTCAAAGAAAGTGTCGATTCCCATGTGCAGAGAACAAAGCTAAAGGACAGGAGAAAGTGGTCAGTGGACCTCCTACCACTGCAAGGTCCCAAAAGCATCTTACCAYGTTCCACAAGGGTTTTTGGCATGTTTGTAAATATGTGAAAAGAAGGGGAATGGTATCAACACACTCTCACCTCAGAGTTCTTAAGGACTGAGGCCAGATGTGAAGAACTASAGACAGATTTAAAAGGTTGAGTGACAGTGATTGTAATGAAAGAAGAAAACCAGATCCCATTCTTTTGCTCACGGAACAATYGCAGTATCCAATAAGCCTTAAATCAAGTTGGGCATAATGCTGATATTAATGCAATGTTTACTGCAAAAAGCACTGTGAGCAACTGTATTGTCAAKAGGTCTTGTATCACTGATCTGTCAAAGCCAGGTCACCTTCAACAATCTGAAATTGCATGTGGCCATTGCTGGAAGTCACCCTGTCCAGAATCAGTCTCCTGATCAGAGAGAAGAGCAGTGAATGTGGTATTTACATGATTGCTGAGTCTGTGATCTATGTCTGCCAGTGGCACAAATACAGTGCAAACAGTATAGTACAAACAAATGGGAATATTTTTAAAGTCTCCATAGTAGTTCCTGGACCTGGCAATGCTTGAACAGGTATAGAATGCAGCCAGGACAAACAGTCTAGTGSAGCAGGAAGTCATATTCCACAAGTTCCCATTTCTTTTGTCAGGCTTTATAATTAAGCAATGCTTGCCATTTGCTAGAAGCAACAACTTCTTGAGCTGGCATGAAGGACAGCTCACTAGTATGCATTTCATGTGCTGAATTCTTCTTACTGGTAAACAAGTGTCCTGACAGAACATGGCAACTCTGGAAGAGTTTATTCTGTGTAATTTTTAAATATTACACAAAAATAAAGTTTAAAGTGATGCATCTCTAGCTGAAAGTCACTACAGACTTTATCAACAGAGATACAATGAAAGAGACAAAGTTAGTTTTCAGTTGAAACACTGGAYGATTTTTTTCCATAGTATCAGATCCTCTCCTAGAGCTTGACTTAAGCATAACTTATTCCAACTGAAGTTAGAACAATTTCTTGCAAGAGTAGCTTTTGAGCAGGCACAAGCCAAGAGTGGGAAGAAGTCAGGATATAGGAACATAAAAATCTTAGTGAGGTAACATCAACCATCTAACGACTTCTTGAGATTTTTCATGAACAAATCTGTGTATCTGATAAACATATAAGGTAGGTAAGGTAGTCCAAGTGAGAAAACAGAAAAGGATATAGATGCCATAATTTATACAGAACACATCCCTTGGTATTACAGAGATTACTATTTTTACACCTGTTTCCCTAATAAATCTCAACATGATTCTTAATTTCCTTTATATAGCTTCTATATACAGAAGATATACAGCATGATACAGATACCTTTTTGTTGTACCTGTTTTCCTTTATATAATCTGTAGATCCAAAATCACAAGAGAATGTTTGGCTAACAAATGCAGCTTACTTGTTTTAAAACTGAAATATTCTGAACCTTCAGACCCTGTTTTCAGCTGCTCTTTTTCCTGTACATGCTGATTAAGACTGAAATAATGGTATGTTCATTGTCTTGAGAAAAAAAACCCCAAAACTTTGTCTTTAGGGATACTTCCCTTCTATCCGATGTAACTAAGTTTGAGAATAATGTTGTGACTAATAGTGACTCTTGAAAGCAAGTATTCAGTGTTCCTCTTTTCTCATCTGAATTCAGAGACCCGTTACCAGTTGAACTATCACACTTTAGAAGAAAAAAAAACAAAAGCAGTTTGCGAACTTTGTCGTCTGCAGCTGGAGACAAGGTAATTGAACASTAATTGCTGACTTAGAATACAGAACAGAAGGCACCTCTAATTTCTTTTAAAGTAGCTTAAAAGTATCATTACTAGTTTCACGTCCTGCATTTTTTGAATAAAAACAAAAACAAGAAAACCCACACCAAACAAACCAAAACCCCCAACCCTGTAACTTAAAAAAAATAGTAGGTGACTGCTCTTCTACACTTTTGTTTTCTCCTTTTCCTCCCTCAAAAGCATCTTACTAGGTTTGCGATGAAGCCACGGAGTATCTTTCAAAGAAGAGMTATAAACCAGAAGATTCAAGTGAAGTTCTAACCCAGGGTCTAAGTGACTTTGGTAAGGGTCCATAGTAACAACCACAGGTCCTACGTAAAATCCATTTAGTATGTATTCAAACTCCCATCCCTCCAAACAAACAAAAAACCACAAACCAAACAAAATTTCAACTCAAGTCAGAATTTGAACTGGGAGTTTACTATAAACCAGGCAAAATACTACTTCTTGTTACAGCAAGAAACAGCAACACAATTGTCTCTTTTCTCAGATACGGTATCAAGAAAAAAATACGCTTCTTTAAAGAAAGAGATCACATTCCAGTTCCATTTCCCATACTATTTACAAKCATAAGTAAGAAAGATAACTTGGAAAAGAACATGCAGGTGTCACAACTATCAGRTACAGTAAACAGGTAAGATAGTTGAGCTTCTTCTGATAGAAATATTAATATTTAAACCATTAAACAAGAACATTGGTATATGGAGCCAGAAGTGAAACACAAATCGATTAAAATACTATGACATAAAATAGACCCTATTATTCCTCTGCAAACCTCAATGTTAATTATTTCTTGTTTGGACATGGAAGGCTTTGGTAAAATTCACAGTTCGTTCTGGGACTCTTCCTAGGCTACCCAGGACAAGACAGACTTAAATACCCATTTTCTTTCCCTGAGACACCACAAACACCAAGAAGGGTCTAAACAGGCTTAGACCTTTATGRCCTGCCTCAGGTGCTAACCCACAATCAATATAAATCTTACCCAGTAACGTATTCTTACTTGGTTTGCTCTTTCCAGAATGTCAATCAGCTCAGACGCGTACCTCCAGTCATTGCTCGTGACAAGCGTTACTGCCTCCCCAGTGCGCCTRAACAAGGAAGGAAACAACTGCTGATCTTATAAACAACTCTTGCAAGGCTTTTACTACTGACCTAGGCAGTAACAAACTCTACTACAGCCAATATGACTGAGCTGGTAGAATAAAAGTGGCTTGAGTATCAACTACACACATGACAGAGAGCAACTTTTCAAAAAGATCAGCATATAGCAATTCACCTAAAATGGAGCAAAGGCACAACTAATTTAGACTTTTACAGAATTAACCTGGCTTAAAAACAACATATTTAAGTATAAAGAGACACACATTAATATCAAGATTAAATGAGAAAAATCACACTTGTACCAGCCTGGGAAAGCAGCATCCAAAAGAGCTACCACTGAACTACACCACCATAATCAGCTGCAGACTTTGAATCAGATGCTTCTTTTCCATGTGCTGTCTAAAAAACTAAATAACTCAGCTGCATAAGAAGCGATAAATAAGGAAGTAATATTCCAGYACATCTATGCTGAACTCTAATTCTTCCTCATATTTAAATGAGCCTTCAAACTTCCTTCATCCAATAATAGAAAAGATAAAACTTGTTTGCTTTGAATTTAACAGTCAATTTCAAGACATAAGCAATGTGTTTCTAGAACATACTCTGATAGACTGAAGTCTTCACTCCCCCACCATACCTCACCTGTAGCCTCTAGAACTTGACAAGAACAGCAGCATGCAGTACATAAAATGTAACAAAGCACTGATAATTTTCTCGTAAACACTTACCCTGCTCTTCCAGTACGACCTACTCTATG